CCAGGCGCCTCTGAGCAAGTTCCTCACCAGTGTGAGCACAGCCAAGCTGGTCCTGGAAGAGGCCTCGAGGTTACTGAAGCGGCTCTGGAGAGTCGCACTCCCCACAGGTGGCCAGTGTACCCTACACTGTGAGCAGGTGGGTGGTGATATGATTCAGAGGCTCAGGGGTGTCTGTGTCTCTGGCTCATCTGTGTCCAGCCTAGGACTGACTGCGGTGGCAGATATGCCCTGGGTTTAGGATGTGTCAGAGGGAGGGAACGTGCTTGTTATGGTTCACCGTGTCCATACCTGGTCCCCCAGCACCCACAACTTGACTTGCAGCCCCGGCCCTCTGTATCCCACTCCGAGCACATCCTTGGTGAGTGGAATCCTGTCCACATTCGACACATGAGGAAGCATGCAGGGAGATGAGGCTGGTTTGAAAGCCTGGGTATCTGAATCCAAAGTTTATTCATTCATCGTGTCGGATTTAAGTCCCGGTTTGTCCTCTCTGACTAGCTCATTCTTTTCTACTCAAAATCCTTTTCATTTTACATGTCTTTTTCTCTGGACCTTCTGATTCCTATTGATAGCTTTCATCATCATATTCGAGTGGGCCTTGTTCAAAATCTGTTTTAACTACTTAGGAATGACAGGCTCCAAATCACGAGCCAGGCAGAGTTGAGGCTGTCCCCTGATTTCTGTCTGTGGGATACGTGGAGTACTAGGACGAGGCGAGCACCCACTCTGCCTAATCAGAGGACCCTCTCAGGAAGGAGGAGCTTGTAGGTTAAGGATGACTTAGAACTCTCTGCTTGGTGGCCTGATAGATATTTCCCCCATCATTTATCTAACCTACAAATTCTTGCCAAAGGCCAGCGGGAGGGCAGGAGGGAAATTTGCATTCCCTGTCATTACCTCATTTAGTTAAACCCCTTTTTGACAGCTCTCAGCTCTATCAAGCCCAGCAACATCCCCCTCTGCTCTGAAGCTTTTTTTTTTTTTTTTTTTTAATTTTGCCATAGGGCATGAGCACCAACTGGAGAAAAGGTGAGAAAGCACCCTGCTCCCCTCCCCTCCACCCACTGGGGGATGGGCGGGAGGGGGTATGGCCATGCCATGGTCTCTTTTCCTCCATTCTCCTCTTGGAATTTCAGGTGCACATGCACACCTACCCAGTGTGTCTTTCAAACGGCTGGGTCCAAGACTCAAACCACGTACTTGGCCTGTGGGATCCAGCACCTTACCCACCATGCCATCAGCTGGTCTTGCTCTGAGGCTTCTCTCTTGGGATCCTGAGGAAGAAGTTTGGCTACACTAAGCTCAGGGAAGGTCATGACTGTTGGTTGCACAGGAGAATTGCATTCTGTCTACTCAGTTGGGGCCGGGTGGGCAGGGGTCTTGGTTCCACATTGGCCTCTCCTTTCTTCTAACTCACTGAGCTCTTTTCTGACTTAGGCTTAGATGACACCAGATGGTCTGGCTGCCTGGACTGACTCATACTCTCCCCCTGACTGGCTGGCTCCTTGTCACCTTCCAAGTCTTCACCTAGGTGTTACCTCAAAGTCAGAGAGGGCGCCCTGATCACTCATTCTCTCCTCTCCTGTTCCATTATAGCCCTTGCACAAATACAAATTGTATATTTGCTGGTTTAATGTCTGTCTTCCTCTGTTTTCCTTCAGGGTACCATGTCTATTTTATTCATGTTTTTTAAATGAGTAATTGATTTCTTTCCATATTCCCAAACTAGTACCTGCCCTGTGTGATTTTTAAAGCAGACATGTATGAACTAAACAGTTGACCCTGGAAGCAATGTTTTTGTCCTTGGCACATAGTAGTGACTGTTAAATAGACACATAGTGTATAAAATGGGTTATATTTACACACACACACATACAAACATTCATATAAAAAAGCAGCTACATCAATCCTCCCCCATTTGGAAATTTGCCCAGGGACCATTCAGTGCTCCTGATAATTGGCCCCTTCTTTCTGAGGGTTTTGGGTCATTGATTATGCTCACTTTAATATCATAGAACTATAGAACCAGAAAAAGGCCCAGGATGCTCCGATGTGCTTGCTGGTGTAGACCCCCGGTGTGGTGTTAAATTGCCTCTAGCCACTTTTCTGTCCTGCCTGTGTTTCATACAGAGCCTTTTGCTCGGTGTGAAATGTGTGTAAAGCGGATTTCTAAGTTTCCCCCGGCAACCCCAGTGGTTTTTACTATCTGGCATTTCCTGTGAGTGTCATTAGTTTGCCCTTTGCATTTAACATACTGCTCTGGAAAGTGCATGGCATATGTGTCAGTTTACCTAAGACGGTTGTGTGTAGGGATACGAATATATATGTACACTTGCTTATAATACTTCTTTTTTAATGGAAGGTAAACAAAACAGGCTACATAGGGGTAAGAAGGAGAGATTAGAGGGGCAGGGATAGATGCTAGATTTCTCTGAATAGATCTTGTTTTATAGATTAAACTTCAAAACCAAAATCAATAAAATTGAAGTGGGAAAAAGGCAGCCTCTAAAAATTCATTGCAATATGCAACAAACAAACCCAACTGTATGTACACTGGAGGCTTAGGCAAACATTTCAGTGACTAAAACACAGTGATTTTACCATACCATCCTAGTAGAAATAGTCCAAGAGAAAAAAGAGCTGGCAAAAAAAAGTTCATAAAACTGTTTTCAGTGGTTATATTGCTGGTAGTGATTTTGGTATTGATATTCTGAAACTATTATATTTCTATGATAAGATGAAACATAACTGATAATTTTACTAGGAACAGGTTTTTATCATAAGAGAAATTATACATATATGTAAAATCAACAAAATAAAGACTATATAATTCTTTTTTTTTTTTTGGAGAGGTTTTTGCTATAAGGCATGTGCGCTCGCCAGAGAGACAGAAAGTGAGAAATCACCCCCCAGGGGGGATGGCCACACCGCAATCCCTTCTCCTCCATTCTCCTCTCAGGATCTTGGGCATGCACGCACACGTGCCCGGCGTGAGTTTAAGCCATCGGGTCCAGGACTTGAACTGCAGTCAGCTACATGGGAGTTCAGTGACATAGCCATTACGCTAACTGCTGGTCCCATCTCCATTTTTTTTTTTTTTGAGGGGTTTTTGCCATAGGGGCCATGCGCTTCCCGGTTTTTGCCATAGGGCGCATGCGCTTGCCAGGAAGACAGAGAGAGACAGAGAGACAGAAAGCGAGAAATCACCCCCTAGGGGGGATGGCCACACCGCAATCCCTTCTCCTCCAATCTCCTCTCGGGATCTTGGGCACACATGCACACGCACCTGGTGTGAGTTTAAACCACCAGGTCTGAGATTCAGATCATGTTTGACTACATGGGAGTCCAGCGACATAGCCATTACGCCAACTGCTGGTCCCGTAATTCTCCACTTTAGTTGTAAATATCAGTATGAACTCATGACATATTTCCTATTTAAAAAATGTACTAACCCTGTCTGTGTAAATGTCTTTGGAAACGATGTCTGATCTAGTACCAGTGAACACCTCTAATGCCCAAATTGTGACTTCTAGATTCCTTTTTCCTGAGAGCAGTAACTTCTTGGAGAAATGGCTTACTTCTGTGTCTAGGGCGGGGCAGAAGATGCAATATGAGCCATTTCATCCAAGTAAGAAAAGAAGGGGGAAGCCGGAGGGGGCCTTGTAGAGTCCCTCAAAGATCCTAGAGCCGAAATGTCAGCCTTATCTGGACACTTGTCAAAAATGCAAGTTCTTGGGCCTCACCAGGCCTACCGAATCAGAAACTCTGCGAATAAGCCCAGGAGTCTGTTTTTACGAGCCCTTCAGGTAGCTTCGAGGACTACTGGATTCAAGAAATTGAAACAATAGCAGTCCAATGCAAACCTTAGATCTTATTGGGATCTTCAGTCAAACAAATTGCTTAAAAAAATGATGAGACGATTAGAAATGTGTCCACTGAGCCCATCCATATTTGGTGATACTGAGGAATCATTGTCATTTTTAGGTGTGATGATAATATTGTAGTGGCTTTTTATCATTTAAGGAATCGTTTTCTTTTAGAGATATTTACTAACGTATATTACAGATGAAATGATGTAACTGACTTCTAGGATTGGTTTCAAAATAGTCTTAGAGAGAGGGTGAGCTGGGATGTAGTGAAACAAGTTTGGCCAAGAGCTGATAATGAAAGCCAGATGAGTACCTGGGGATCTACTCTCCAGTTTTTTCTACTTTTAGAATTTTTTTTAATCATAAAAAGGAACACAAATAAGCAAAGAAACTTGTCCGAGAAGTCAGGGAGAACCCTAAGGAAGAAGTCTGAGGCCTCTCGGGTAGGGTGGCTCTGCGCTTGGTGCCCTGGCGCTGTTCTTGCGAGCCCCTGCTAGGTGCCAGGCAATCTGCTTACGTTCAGCATCTCACTTGATCCCTTACCAAAACCTTCAGGGAATGAGGGATTATTATTCCCATTTGCTAGATGTAGGAACGGAAACTCCCAGAAGTTCAGCGACTTGCTCCAACATCATACAGCTAGGAAGACAAAGAGCCGTGCTTTGGAGCCCGTGCTGTTTTCACCGTGGTGTGTTCATCCTATAAAAATGAAGGCTTGAGTCTGGGGGAACACCAGACACATAAATAATTAAAGTCTTTGTTTGAAGTGCTAGATAGAATATGTACAGGGCTTTAGGAGAGCACAGTGAAAATTCACCCACTAATCAGCAGACGGTGTCACAGCACCTGTCTGCGAAACGCACTGGGGATGAGCAGGAAGAATCGAGCTTGTCGGCGGCAGGGAAGCGAACTGGTGAAAAGGACCCGTTAACGACAGTCCACCATGACATAGGCAGTCACTGGAAGACACTGAGGGCAGTGGGCACCTGGTAGGGAAGGTGTGTCCAGGAAAGCTTCCTGGAAGAGGTGATGCCTGAGCTGACTTTAGAAAGAGTAATAGGGCTTAGCCAGGCAAATTGGATGTGATTGTCCACGGCCCACACCTCCGCCCCGCTGTCTTCTGTCATCTCTCACTTGAGTCTCACTCTGTGAAAGTGTGATAGTTGACCGGAAATTACTACTTCAGTTCACAGATGTGGAGCTAAGGCTCTGACTGCAGCGACTTTGTCCTGGGACATGTGGGCTATGGAGCCACGACCAGAACTCCAACCTTTGTAGGCTCTTAGGCTGAGGAAGAGAATCAAAGCCAACCTAATGTTTAAAATTAGGATCTGTTTGGGAAGAACCATTGAAGTCCTTGTACCTGACATGATTGGTTATCTTAAAAGTAGGTTAAGGGAATCAAAACACGATACATACCTTAAACATTTCAGTTTAACTTAAAACAGATAAGTGTGCATTCATTTGCCATTCTTTTGATGTAGGACCAGGGCCTTTTCTTTGAATGTGGGTCCGCTGATTGGAGTTGCACGTCTTCTTTCTTTCATAAACTACATCCATAATGTATGTCTGTCACTTCCAATTTTTGTTTCTTTAAGATGAAGAGAAAACTTAGACACTTGCAAAGCAATTTGAATAGAGAATTCTTCTAGACCATGTTCATGTTCCTCCCACATCTTTTGTCATTGTCTCACCCACACCCAATTTGCCAGAGATGTGTTTTTTAGTGGCTTGGCTTTATCAAGTCTTTCCTGAAGCATATGTCAGTTTTCATGCAATCACTTCTCTCTTTCCACACACGTTCCATGGGTTTACTTAATACTGAAGTAAATTACGTAATTCTATGACAAGTACAGCCATCATAAACAAGCTTGGAAGCAAACTAAAGTGACTCTCATAACCCCGTAACTCAACATGGCTCTTCTTGGAAGCAGAGGGGTGTCAGTGGAGCAGAGAGTAGCCTGTGGCCTGAGTGTTTTACTGAGTGCAAGGGTGTGATGCTAACTCCGTGAGCTGCCCAGGTGGTTAGGTGGTGGAGGGTGAAGATAGTGTATTTCACTCGAGAGGGTCGGGGACTCTGATGTTGCCACCCGTCTGCACCCTCCTCTGAAAGTCTGAATAGGTTCTCCTAATGGATATGTTTTTAGGATTAAACATTACCGCATTTTTTTAATGAGCTTTAGAGTTTTTATTAAAAAGCTCAGTTCAGAATCATTTCTCTCAGAGATAACCGCTATTAACATTCTGATGACATCTTGATATCCACATCTGTGGATGTAGATAGAGATCTACAGCATCGTTTAAAAAAAATATATGGATTTATATGTTCCATGAGAGAGAGCAAGCAAGAAAGAGAAAGAGACAGCACCCCCCAAACAGGGTCTCAATGCTGCGATCCACTCCTAGCCTCACCCAGCTCGAGGACGCGAGCAGGAGGTTCTGTGGTGTACCCAGGGAGGTCTCTGGACTTGAATTGGGAACCTTACCAGGTGGGATTGCCTCACAGATCATCTTGAGCCACCATCCTGTCCCCTACCACATTACTTTTAATAGGTGCATAATTATTTCATTGTACGTAACATAATTTATTTAGATCTATATTAAAACAAATCAGGTTGTTTATTTTCTCCTACCACCAATGCCAAGATGAACGTCCTTGGATATAGGCATCTTTTTGTGATTACCTTGTTCTTCCTGGGTAAATGCTGAAGTGTAGGCTGCTGGGTCAAAGAGCTGAGTGTGTCTTCGAGTTGGCAGGCTGTGTGGGGTGCTCAGGCTGGGCCTCGCTGCTCACAGCTCTGCCAGTGCTCACAGAAGTGCTTCCCACCTCACTGAAGTTTGTCCTGTTTTACCAATCTGATGGCAGAAGAGGCCTTCTAGTTTTTATTCGAGTATCTTTGTTAGTAAGGGTCAGCATCATTTTAGGCCTTTGTAATTCTTTCTATGTAACATGACATTTTATATTCTTAGTTCATTTTTCTAAAACTTGCTCTTTTTAGATCGGAGAAATGAAGGCAGAGATCACCAAACTGCACAAAAAATTGTTTGAACAAGAAAAGAAGTTGCAAAGCACTGTGAAGCTTTTGCAGCTGAGCAAGCACCAGGAAAAAGTCATCTTTGATCAGTGTAAGTGCGTGCTTGGGGGCGGCTGGCCACTTCCTGGCTCTGAGTGCTGACAGTCCAGTCCTGGGTTGGTTACTCACTTGGAGGCCGGGCCGCTCGGAATCACGCCTCCTGTTTACGGGCCTCTTCTCATTCTTCATCCTTTCTGACCCATATGGAGAAATGCATTTATGTAATAGTTCTTTGTAGAAGGGTCCTTGGAGCCAGGGACTGTCATCTCCTCAGGGAGGAAGTGGGCATGTGTGTAGTAGGGCAGGAGTACTGCAGTGGGCCTTGAGGGCACCACTCTGTCCTTGGAGGTGAGCATCTGGAATGAAGTGACGCAGGAGCTGAGTCTGAAAGGAGCAGTAGTCATTGTCAGAAGGGACGGGGGGTGGGGTGGGGGCTAGGAACAGCATGGACAGGGAGCAGCATGGATAGAGGCAAGGAAAAGGTCTTTTAGGTGATCCAAGAACGTTTCCTATTGATGGAGCAAAAGCTGACAGTGGCAGGTTAAGGTGGGAGGTGTCAGGAACCGGGGCTTGCTCTGTGAGGGACCTCGGAGGCAGGCTCAGGGCTGCTGGCACGTAGAGCAGAGGATCAGCCCGTCACATCTGTGTGCAGGAAAGACCCACTGTCATCTGCTCCCCTATAAGCAGGAGGTTGACTCCTAGTCAGACAGGAAAGGAGGTGACCTCGGCTAGGATGGGGGGGTGGTCCAAAAGAGGGCATGGAGCTGAGAAATACTTCTCAAGGCAGATGTAGAAACTCAAGGTCAGAGAAGGTAAGCAGCTTTCCAAGGCCAGTCCCACTGTGATCCAGCTATTTCAGCGTGGTGGGAGTGGCTCCATCGAGTTCGACCCTCGGCACTGCCTCACCGTGTGTGTGTGTGTGTGTGTGTGTGTACACGGGAGCAGGTGGCAGTGGAGTTTCCATTAGTGCCTCTCGGCAGCTCAGCCTGGCCTGGCCCGCATGTCAATTTCCCTGTCTTGGGAGAACTGCTGACTCTGGCGCTCTCCCCTCTGGAGGGGCCAGCCGGCCTCGTACTGTCTCTTATCAAAGTCCAGCATTTCTGGGGCATTTCCGAGAGGCACAGAACATAGATTATTGCCTAGTAGGAGTTCTCCTTAGCCACCCCCTGGGAATGTTCTGAAAACAGACGCTGTGAGACAGACAGTTTGAACCGTGGGAGAGTGGCTCAGCCTCTAAGCAGGCACCAGGTCCTGCACCGGCTGCGCCTGCCAGCTCTGACGAGGGAGGGGAAGGAGACGGAGCCAATAGCGAGGAGCTTGAGGGTCACCGGCCAGGAGTGGGCGTGGGGGCAGTGAGAACACAAAGATTAACTATCGGATGATGTGCCTTGTGTCCCTGGCTGCCTACGAGATGGCCCAAGACTCTGATTCAGGGTGGTTTGAGACCAGTTGGGTCTCCAGGGATGAACAGGAGTTACTCAGACAGAAGCGACGGGAACAGGATTCTGGCAGACAGCCTTGTAGCCTGTCAGGAAAATGCTTAGGACTGCCAAGCGTTTGATGCAAGACGAGGTCATGGTAGCCCTATGGACTGGACTCAAGGTGGGCTCTAGGGCTGACATGGTGCGTTTGTGTGTTACAAAGTCCTGTGGCTGTGCATGGGGAGGCCAGGAGGCAGGGGACACCTCCACCATCAGGCAGTGGGGAGGCCTGCTGGGGTTGGGAGTGTCCCCTTCTCTCCCTCCCCACATGGTGAAGGGAAGAACAGGGCCAAGGCCAGGCCCTGCCTTGGTGGAATGAACACTGTGCCTGCTTCCAGACTCCACAGGGACAAAGGAGAAAGGGTGTCGCAGCGGGATCTGAGGACACTGCTGTTCCCTGGTGGTGAGCCTGGACCACCCGCTTTACTTCCGAGGCTCAGGGTGTCATTTGCAAAGTGAAGGCAGTAATCCTGCCCGGTAGGGAGGGGTATTAGTGAGTCCACAGTCAGCAATCACCTGTCACCTGGTGGACACCACCCAGGCCATTCTCGTCCTTGCCAACCCCTGGATGGCCACAGCGGGGACTGAGCCATGTGGACCTGGTGTGAGTCATGTCTCCTAACTCCAGGAACCTAGTATCTGCCGCACGAGGGGCTGGGGGTGGGGGAGTAAGCTCAGTCCCTGGCCCTGGTCAAGCCTGTTTAGGACACATCAGTCGGGCTCAGAAATCTGCTTGGCAGTGCTTACTGTGCTGCTGGAGCTGGTGTTGGGCAAGAGCAGATCGAGGGAAGAAGCACCTTCCCTTCTTCTATTCCTGAGCACAGGGCCCTCCTACTTCCCTGGGAATCCCGGTAGTGGGGACTCTTCCCAGTGCACAGCTCAGGGTGTCCCAAGAAACCCACCCCCGACTCTTGTCCAGGCAGGAAAGTGGCTCGCCCAGGGAGACCGTGCTGGGCTATTCTGCACTCAGAAGGGCAGGCGGAGGAGATGGAAGTATGCTTGGTCGTCTCCCCTTAGGAGCCTGCTGGAAGGACTACTGTGTGGAAATTTGACTTGGGCCTCGGGTTTGCTTGGAGCAGGGAGCACTTCCTTCTCCTAGCTGCTTCCCAAAGGGCTCAGGAAACCAAGGAACACCAGGCTCTGGTCAGGCCCAGGCTCCAGCTTGCCCTGCACCATCACTGTCCCCGGCCCACAGAGGTGGGCAGCCAGTTGGCCTTCAGGGCCTTGAGGCCAACTTCTGTAAGACACGAAGCACAGTCTGCCCTCTGTGTTGCTATGAGGTGGGGACTCAGCGAGGACTCTGGCCCACCTCTATGGGTTATTTGGTCCTGGGGTATCGATGGGACTGTGCCCCCACGCCCACTCTTGGCCAGTGCCCCTCAAGCTCCTCACTGGTGGCTCCGTCTCCCTCCTCTCCCTCGTCAGAGCTGGCAGAGACAGCCGGCGCAGGACCTGGTGCCTGCTTAGAGGCTGAGCCACTCTCCTGCGGTTCAAACTGCCTGTCTCACAGCGTCTGTTTTCAGAAGATTCCCAGGGGGCGGCCCAAACCCTCCTCCCTGCACTTGGCTTTCATGCTGCCCTCCTGGACATCCACCTCTCTAACTGCCCTTTTCCTTGCTTTTTCCTCAGTGGTTGTGACCCACAAAATCCTTCGGAAGGCCAGAGGAAACCTGGAGGTAATGGCCCTCTAAATTTTTTTTTCCCCCACTGGAAGCCATATTGGGGTGGGGTGGGCGGGTGGGTGCAGGACCACCACACGCGCCCGGCGTGAGTTTTAAGCCACCGGGTCCGGGACACAAACCCGCGGTCGACTACGTGGGAGTCCAGCGACATAGCCATTACGCTAACTGCTGGTTCCCGACAAGTGCCTCTTTTGAAAAGCATTTGAAGGTGAGGCCAGAGCACGTGTCCTTCACAAGTAACTGTGTGTCTGCAGCAGTGCCAGGAGGTTCCGTTTCATCATGGGTGTTCCCAAAATCCATACGCCGTTCCTACCAGAGAGAAGTTCAGCAAATAGTGCCTAGCACATAGTAGGCATTTGATAAGCACCTCTTGGATAAATGAACGCAGTATGATCTCATTGCCATTTTGTTCTGTAAATATTTATTCATCAAACAGTATGTCTTTAAAAGCAATTTCAGAACAACGATCTCGCTTTAACTCTGTCTGGGAGCTGACTTCAGAAAACTCTCCACTGGACCTAAAATTGTCCTATTTTGCCTCCCTTTTCCTAGCTTAGGCCTGGGGGTGCTCATCCGGGAACATCCAGTCCCAGCAGACCAGGCTCCTGAGGAGAACTTGCAGCCAATAAAGCTTCTACTTCCCCTACTGAGCTCACGCGGCCTCTTTGTTCCAAGTGTGGTTCCTATTTATTGAGGAAGAAAGGCCTGTCTGCCCAAAGGACATCTATTTTTTTCCCTTAATGTTGTCTGTCCAAGAGTTGTGTAAGAGTTGTTGTCAGAAAGGCTCAGCGCTCTGCGGCGAGGCGCTCAGAAGGCCGGCACGCTCAGGTGCTGCGTCTTGGATCTGGGGCACCTGGAGCCAAGGCTGCACACGTCATGGGCTTCGTCCGCCCCCAGCTTCGCTTAGTTCTCAGCCAGAGCTGCAGTGTGGGGCGTCTCATTAAATGACTCATTTCATTTCAACTTATGATTCACATAGATCCTCAAAGCCTGAGTCCCAACCTCCCAACTGGGACAGACCAGGGCCTCAGGAGACACACTACCTCTCAGATACTGCCCTGGGCTCCAGGTGTCCAGACAGGGTCCGGCTTGCATGGTGTCTCACCAGCACCTTGTGGGACAGCCCTCTGAGGGTGCTATCCAGAGTGTAGGAGAGGGCAGAGTGAGGCCTGGTGGGTGGGTGGTCAATACAGACTCCTCCTGCTTGGGCTCTGGGCATCTGTGCTCTTTTCGGGTGAAATAAATTTGTACCTCATTTTAATACATGCCGGTGTGGGCAAACTTGAAGTTAGGTACACTGTAACATGGAGTTCTTTTTTTGTCCCCCAGTTGCATTCCTAAATGTAAGGTCAGTCTGCTGTGGAGATGGGTCAGC